TCCCAGGCTCCATCCCCTGAGATTTTCGCTCAGTAGGCCCAATGTGAGGCCCTAGACTATGTATTTAAAACAAGCACATCAAGTGATCTGACACAGCCTAGCACGAATTAGGCTCTCTAGCCTGAACTCCCACCCAGCTAACGTTTTAGATACAAACCCCGTTATCGTTTGTGGCCAATTCATGAGGATAATCTTAGCTGCCCTACACCCTTCTCTCCATGGAGAGCTGTGTGAACAATCTGAGCGTTTACTGTACTGGATAGATTATATATGTCTTCATCAGAATGTAGCTTAGCTTACATCTGTTCTTCAGGACTGACCTCACAGCTATGAGCATCTTTTAAGAAGGCAACTTCCTGAGGAAACAGTATTCTTCAGAGGCATGCTGCAGCCTGATTCAGTATCTAAAGGGTTCCCTGCCTTGTATCTAGTTTCAGCTGACCTTTTACAATAGAAAAAAAAAGAATAAAAAACACTTTATCTATCCAATAAGGCATTTCTGTTCTCATTGTTTTGCAACTTCAAATTTATCATTGTCTGACATTATCCATGCTTACACAAATGACTTAAAAAGAAAAAAGGAGTCATAATATAAGATATTTAGAACTGCTTGGAATTTTTAAAAATATGAATGTTAAATTCTCAGCAAATCAATATTCTGTTTTCCACATTAAAAATCCATATGGACATGTCAACTATTTTGATTATAAGCGACTCATTTCTATACCTGGCATGTGCAGAGACTAAGGCGAGAGCAATCTGATAAGAGAAAAAAAGGTAATCTGAACAATGCAGTGTAATGGAAAGATCACTGACTCTGGACCAGCTGTGTTTCAAGGCCAGCTCTGCCATGGCTTGGCTGTATGATCTGATTGTGTGGCCAAGGGCAATTATTTGACTATCTTCAACAATGACAAAGGATATATATCAACCTGTAACCTCACAGAGGCATTGGGAAGACAGTAACATACATGAAATGACTTAAGCCGCTGTTTCTTCAAAAGAATATATTCCAAATTACCCCAGACTGTGTTCTTTCTGAAGTGCTGGTAGGTAGTCTATACTGGAAAGATCCTTTCATTTACTCAGGTGATTCACTGAGGAGCTGCTCTGCACAAGGCTTTATGCTAGGCACTAAGGAGAACTAGAGAAGAATTAAATGTTAAGGTGTTTCTAACACATTCTAGATATATGCAACCTAGTTGGAGAAACAAAGTACAGTCATGAGCCCTCTAACGGTTCAGTCAATGACAGACCACACACAGACAGTGGTCCCAATACAGTATTTTTACTGTACCTTTTCTGTATTTAGATATGTATACATACACAATACTTACCATTGTGTTACAATAGCCTACAGTATTCAGGACAGTAACATGCTGTACACATTTGTAGCCTAGGAACAATAGGTTATACCATATAGCATAGGTGTGTAGTAGGCTATACCATCTAGACTTGTATAATTAATTACACTCTGATCTTCCCACAACGGAAATCTCCTAACAATACATTTCTTAGAATGTATCCCCTTTGTTAAGCGACACATGACTGTATACATAATGATTTCATTCCTAGGTGGCAAAACAAGTGGTTCAAACAGTACTATGTATGGTTTGATCATTCTAGCTTTCAGTCCTCTTGCCCATGAGAAAATAAATGCACTGTAAATCAATCCTAAGAAACAGAATGTGCAAATCATATGGACATTTGGTGTCTAATCTCTGTGACAATAATATCTCATTTTTAGTTGTAAAGACTGCCACTGGAGCTCAGTGAAGCGAAAGATGTGGAAAGAAAAGGCTTCTCAAAGAAGGTATCTACAAAGCACGCTGACTACTTCATCTAAACTCTCTTTCGAATCTTACGATAATCCTGTGAAGTATTAACATTATCATTTTACCAGATGGAAAACCAATTCAGAGGGGTTAAGTACCATGCCCAGTACACAAAGCAAACAGCGAAGTTGAGATCTGACTCCAAGTCTGTCCTGACTAAAAAAAACCTGAGATCTCTTGGCTCTACCATGGATGCAATCAGGATAGAAGACGGCATTCTGGACAGAAGGATCAAAATAAGCCCAAACTTAAAGCTAGGAGAGGGTGAGCCAAGTCTGGCAGATGGGGGGAAAAAACACTGGGCAGTTACGGGAAATAGCTGATGAAAAGGCTAGAATATAGATGGCTAAGAAATGTGGCTTGATCCTACAGTTCAATAACATAGAATTGGAAATTATAAGCAGGAAAGTAGAGGATGTAACCAGGGCATTAGGAAGGTAAACTTCAGCAGGACAGAGATGGACTGGAAAAAAAGCATGGCATAATGTAGAACAAATTATTACTTAAGATCTCATGCATTTCAACAGTTGAATAAACCCTGTAGCAATAGTTTTGTAATAAAATAATCAAACTATCTCTTTTGTATGGATCTTTCTTAAAATATATCTCTAGGCATGTTTTAAAAATGGCTACTATGTCCCACCAATTCTTACATGGGTCAGAAACCAATTCCACCTCCAAATGCATCCAAAAAAGAATACTCCTTAAAGCAAAGGCCACATTTAAAAACCAACAACCCAGGTGCATGCCTGTAGTTCCAGCTACTTGAGAGGCTGAGGCAGGAGAATAGCTTGAGCCCAGGCTTTCAAAACCAGCCTGGGCAACACAGAGAGATCCCCGTCTCTTTTAAAACAAAAAACAAAACAAAAATAACCTTTAACAGCAGGTATCAAAGCAGGAAGGGCCAAAGAAGGAATAAAAACAGAGATTCCAACTCAAGGCCAGTGTGGTGGCTCACTCCTGTAATCTTAGCACTCTAGAAGGCTGAAGCGGGAGGATCTCTTGAGGCCATAAGTTCAAGACCAGCCTGAGCAAGAGACCTCATCTCTACTAAAAATAGTAAAAATTAGCCTGGCATGGTGGCACATATCTGTAATCCCAGCTACTCGGGAGGCTGAGGCAGGAGGATCGCTTAAGCCCATGAGTTTGAGGTTGCTATGAGCTAGGCTGATGCCCTGGCACTCTCTAGCCCCAGCCATAGAGCGAGACTGTCTCAAAAAAAAAAAAAAAAAAACCACCCACAAAATTCAAAATAATCCTTTTAAAAATAATAAAATCAAAAAAACCCCTCACAAATAAACCCCTTAGTAAAGGAAAACAAAGTTGCAAAAAGTTGTATATTAACATGTACGGAAGCACTCAACACTTTTCAGGGGAAAAATAAGTTAAGGACAGAAAAATTAGAGAATGACTTTCATATAACCCCGCATTTACTTTTTTTTTTTCCAAGACAGTTTCATTCTGTCACCCCAGTGGCATCATCATAGCTCACCAGATTTACTTTTTCGCCCAAACAAATTTATAGTCTCCACTTCTCACAAAAATCAATACAAAAGCATCATTCTCATCACTTAAGAGCCAAACTTCCTCTCTCTTTTATGGATAAAGAGGATTTTTGGTTTGTTTTGAGGTCTGCACAGGTTAAATTTAGTGCCTTAGCAGCTGAAAAACAATCATCATAATTCTCAAGTTCTCCATCCTATTCAATCTTTGCCACAAGAAAATTCAACTGCATCCTGTAACCTAACACTGAGCTGCATCAAGCCAAGGCTCCATATTGCTTAAACGCGTAGGATCACATTAAACCCTTCAGTGCCTAGACAACAATAACCTAATTAGCCAGCAGAGCACTTGTGATGGTGGCCCCACCAGAAACCTAGTCAAAGACACTTCCTTCAACTCTTTCACCAACAAGGTGACCATCTTGCAAAGGGGAACCGGGAGAAAATAAGCAAAGTTGGAGAGGAAAATGTGGAGGGATATGTGCAGCTGGGATTTTCAAAGAAAATTACAGTAAAAAGAAGGAGCAAAGAGTGTGGAAAAAAATAATCATCTTTTCTGCAAAATATATTATGTGGAGAAGATGACCTCTCTCTCAATTTTACACCCTTAACTTTACACTGAACCTTTCAGAAAGTTATTAGTGAGCTTGATGTTCTGGGGAGCATAAGAAGTGCCCAAACCACATTTTTATGTCCTCATTTCCCTGCAAAAGAAATGTGATACCTATGCCTAAGTACCGAGATATCTTATTAATATATATGGACTGATAAGCTTCTCAAAAAATTACATTTGCCTCTTCTACCAAAGGTATTCCCAAATTACGTCACCAGATTTTCAAGCAGCCTAGAGGTAAAGCATTAAACACAAAGCAAATAAAAACAAAATTACTCAGACAAGAAAAGTATAGATGATCATGGTAATACTAAGGGAAATAAATACATGTTATTTATCCAAGACAAGCCAAAGCCCTTACGAACACCTATTTCACAACTCTAACAACCAGAGCCTACCTCTCAAAGCCTCGAGAACTTGGATTTACAGAAAAGTCAATATGCAGTGCCAAAATTCTCAAGATTAGCCTCTGGCTGTCCACATAGACTTAAGAACCAGCTTTATGCTGGAGCTGTATAAAACTTAAACCAAAGTAAATTCCTTCAGCACCTTAAGAGTACTGACTGTACTTTAAATTTTTTCTGCACCCTAGAGACTGGTCAGGAAGGCTTCGATGCCCACATAGAGTGTAACCAACAGAAAGGTTTGCTGATTTGTGTGTGAACTCTAAAGTTCTGCTATGGGTCCATTAAATAAGAGAAAACTCTTTTTCTCTGCTAAACCACACGGATGAATTTAGCCGCCACCTCTCCATAAAAAGAGGGGACTAGCATGCCCGGAAGGGCCCCATCGTAACGCCGATCCCGGCTCGCTGGAAGCCAGTCTGCAGCTTCACTCTCCCGCCGCGGGCGCTGAGGCCGAGCAGGGCGGAGAGAGCCGGCGGCTATTCGGATGGGGCCCTGGAGAGGCCGCGCCCGGCGAGGAGGACCTGTAGTGCAAGCCTCTCGCCCGGGCTCAGGAGCCCTTCCGAGGCTGGCGCCCGCACCTGCCGCCCCGCCTGCTGCCCGCAGGCCCTTTTTCTGTCAACCGCCTCCGGCCCGCGGGACTCACAGCTTCAGCCGCTCGTAGGTCGTCGCCGCCATCCTGCACCACCACCTCCTTCCTTCTCTCTCTGCCCGCCCCGCCCCACGCCGCCACCTCGGCTACTGCGCTACCGGTCACCCTGGAGCGGCGGCCGCAGCGCCCAGCCTCGTCCCACCCTTTTCCCCGCCCCGCGGTAGCGAACGGGAGGCGGCGGAGGACAAACTACTTCGCGAGCCAGGGACTGCGAGAGACGCCATGCTACGCGGCGGGCTGGAGCGCCGCGGAGAGCGCGGCGAGGTCGCGGCCGCGGATTGGTGGAGCGCGTCCGCTGGGGAGGCGGAGCAGGGGAGCAGGCGGAGCTGTGGGCTGGCGCCGCGGCGCCGGGTGCGGGGGCAGAAGTGGAGTTGGCGGTGTCAGGAAGCCTGTTGAAACTGCGGAAGGGGTGATCACCCGTTGCAGGGAGCGCTTAGCTAGCACGGGGCCAGTGGCGCAATGGATAACGCGTCTGACTACGGATCAGAAGATTCTAGGTTCGACTCCTGGCTGGCTCGAGGTGTAACTTTTTTGTCACATTCGGGCTTGGTGTTACAAGGTCTCCTGGGAGATATTTATGGCTAGAATATGAAGGTTAGCTACCTTGAACTTTAATGCTACTTTGCCCGAAATGTCATCTTTTAAGCTGTGTTTGGAACACGGAGTTGTCTGAGGTGGTTTGGAAACTGCAAAGCGCCTACTCTTAATCATGCACGAGTGGTCTCTGTAAATGCGGTACCTTTAGAAAAACACACCTGGAAAGGTGGCAGTTTGGAGTGGGGAATGTGCTGTAGCTAGCTACCAGATGACGCAAAGGCGCATTTAAGGCAGCAGCTATGGCTTTTTTTCCCCATGGAGCAGAACCGCCCGCGGTGACGTGAAAAGCGACCTGTTCCAGTTTACCAAAATGGGGTGGGCTCTAGGTCTAACCCTCCGCGGAGAAGGAAACGCTGCGGTGCGGTTGCGCGCGCTCGTAGGGTCCGCAGACCTGGCGCTCGGCTCCAAAGCCAGCCTGGCTCCCAAATTCCAATCGGGAAACCTTAAAACATGGGTGTTTTTACAGTAAGAAGAGCTCAGGTAATCTCGCATGTTACTCATTGTACAGGTACCTGCCTTGGACACCTGAGAAGGCCCCAAATGTCTGCGGCCTAAAGAGGGGACTCGAACCTGGCGATTGTGAGTTACTGGACACTGTCCTTTAACCAGTCACTCAATCGATCAGTTAATTTCTCCAATATTACGCCCTTTTCCCGAGTAAACTATAGAAAATTTGTAAAATACAGACCATTATTGGGAATAAAAATAATCTCCCCCTGCGATCATTACTATTAACATAATTTTTTCCTTATAGACTTTTCTTCTAGGCTTTTTAATATGGATATACCTACACATGTGTTTTTACAAATTGGGGTTGTATAGGAAATGGATTTATGTTCTCTGTGTCCCCTTACCTTTTTATCTGAGATTTATGGCTATTAAATATTCTTTGAAGATACTGCATCAGGGATATTTTAAGCATAACCCTTATGCTGGGAATTTGAGTTGTTGCCAGTTTAACATTTTTTAAAATGATTCTGTGTTAAATTATTTCTATGTCTTATAAATATCTAGATGTGGAATGACTAGTGGGCATCTTTAAGGTACATTTCATGGACATTTTTAAGACTTGTGTTACATATTTTCAAATTGCCCTCCAAAAAATTAAACCAATACCTATTTCCATCAGCAGCATCTGTTTCTGTGCAGGCCAGCCAACACTGGATATTATAAATAATTTCTTTGCAATTTTTATAATTATAAAATGGAACTTCTTTTACATTTATTATGTGATGTATGTATTTTCTCTTGACATATTCAATTATCTTACAAATTTGTTTATAGGTTAAGGATATTACTAACTCTTTGGCTATCAAACACATTGCAATCCTTTTTTTCAAGCTTATCATTTTTTAACTTAGAATAATTTTCACCTTTATATATTCAAATTTAATGTTTTATGGTTTCTTCTTTTATATAGGTGCTTTTTTTCAAATTGTTTATATTGTTTTTTCCATTTACTTTAATCTATTTGTCATTTATTTTGTTGATCACCATTACATAAAGATCAATTAAATCTTAAAACCTGCCACACGTATTGAGCAATTACATCCTGCCGGGCACTACTCTAAGCCTTTTACTTGAATTCAGTCAATCCTTGCAACAATCCCTTAAGTTCAGTTGTTATCCCCATTCTTACAGATGAGGGAACTAAGTTTGTTTCAGGTCATTGAGCAATTAAGTGGTGAAGACTGAGTTAAAACCTGAGTCTGGGCTCTTGGCTGTCGCAGCCCAGATTGCAGAACGGGGGATGGACACAGAAAGAAACACACAGACACACACAAGGACATACAAGACTGCAGTAGATAATTCTACCAGTCGCTTTATTATATACTTTTTCTATGTCCGGCAGCTACTTCCTGGTACGTGACTACCTTGGGTGTCTTGAGGAAACACATTTTCATTCCTTCCAGACGATTGCTTAAGGGAAGCAAACGTTTGCATCTTAACTTCTTGTATCTTAACTTCTTTATCTCATTACCGTATGCAGGACAATGAGATGCCTTGGTTTGTTTGCAAGACCCCAGGCGCTTGGTTATCTATCATAAAGCTATCTGTCATGAGGAATAGTTCTGTTTGTCCAACAGGCCGTGTGCGGACCTGTTGACCTCTGGCGCCAAGGAGAGCACACCCAGTTTCGCTGACTCTGGGCATAAGCCAATTTTGCCCAGGGACGGTCCCTACATTGGCCCCAAAACCGTCCTGCCCCATGGGCTCACTATACCTCAGAGGGCGCCACATGAGTGGGCTCAGGGCCAGTTCCTCATCTGGGCATGGATGGGACTTGAACCTGGGGAATATGAGTCATCACTGTCCATCAACCAATCACTCAGTCGATGAATTAATGGGCTACTAAACCCCATCCCCTGCTAATTAGCAATGAGAAGACCGCATTTCTAGTCCTGCTGATGCTTCTACTCACCAACTCTGGGCTCTTGGACATTTCCTCTCCTTTAATTCAGTGGGGGGTTTAAGTGGCAGCCTGTCTCACATAAGGCTTTAGGAAAAGAATACTTCCAGCTGAACAGCCACTGCCCTGCAGAGAGCTCCCGCCCAGCTCTCTGAACACGTTATCATGTAGAAAGCACTAAAACGAAAAATTTGACCTTTCTTCACCAGTTGGGAACTATAAACCAAGGCCCTTTGTGAACATTCAGTGAGGCTGAAAAACAAAAAGTAATCCAGGCAGAAACAGGCATTCTTCTGGGGTTTTTAAAGACCAATCAAAATCCGATTCTAAGGAAAGCAATGTTCAAGATTTAAAAATCAGCCAAGGATGGGTAATATAAATTGACATCTTTGGCCAAGTTTTTCCCGTAGTGAAATTGTTACATAAATACAAAAATTTTTTACAAAATCTCCCAAGGGCCTTCCTATGGAGACATTCCAAGCTGCAGATGAAGCTTGTTGGCACCATCCAAGTGATCCCTACAGCCTACTTTTATATCCAGCTCCCACTTACAGACCTTTGATCTTACAGACCTTGTCTGTTGTGGAGTCTGCCTTCTCGCCAAGTCACCAAAATGGGTGTGTTCCCTCACTCTATTCCATCACAGGCCTGATGTGGGCCAGGCCCCATGGCTCAGGGCCGCCACCTGTCCCTGAGGACTTGGATGATTTGGAGAGATGTGTATAACCAAGTGGTGGCAGTGCCTCAGGCTGCCTTACACACCTGATCTGGGGCTGTTACATACCTGGGAGCTTCTCCTGACCAGACCTCCTCTGGCTTCTTTTTATGATTTTTTTATACTGAGAGACCAAGGTCCCAGTCACATTTGTGTGTGACCGTTTGTTTTTAATCCAGGGAAAATGCAGACCCCACTTTTAGCAATGCTTGAAGAAAAGGTACCAAATAACCCAGGGATATTCTTTCATTTCCACTCAAAGACATTTGTTGGAGTCTGGTAAACTGAATAATGCTCCTCCCCTCCAAAGATGACCATGTACGAATCCCCAGAATCTGTGAATATCTGCAAAGTAGCTTTGCAGATATGATTAAGGATCATGAGATGGGGAGATTATACTGGATTATCTGAATGGGCCCAAGGTAATCACAAGGGCTCTTAAAAGGAGGCAGGGCTGAGTGTGGTGGCTGACACCTGTAATCCCAACATTTTTGGAGGCCGAGGCAAGAGGATCACTTGAGCCCAGGAGTTTGAAGTTGCAGTGAGCCATGATGATGCCACTGCACTCCAGCCTGGGTGACAGAACAAGACCACATCTCCAAAAAAAATAATTTTAAGAAATAGAGGCAGCAGGGTCAGTGAGAGGTGGTGTGACAACAGGTAACAGAATGAGAATAATGCAGCCACAAGCCAAGGAATGTGGGCAGCCTCTAGAAGCTGAAAAGGGGCAAGGAATAGATGTCCCCATAGTGCCTCTGGAAGGAATGTGGCTCTGCCGACAACCTTGACTTTAGCCAAGAAGACCCATTTCTCCAGAACTGTAAATTTGTTGTTTTAAGCCACTGAGGCTGTGATAATTTGTTACAGTAGCAATAGGAAACCAATACAGATTCCAACAGAGAACAGCAATAATCTCCTCACAGCCTCATAAGGATTTTTTGACTATGTAACTTTAATAATTAAGTATACTGACACTGAAGGACAAGTTACTGCCCCCCCAGCAGCCACTGGTTGACTGGTCAAGACAGCAACCTCTAGATGAGACTGCCTGGGATGGAATCCTGCCTCAACTATTTCCTGCGTACGTACTGTTGGGAGGGTTACTTCACTCTTCTGTGTCTCAGTTGTCTAGAATGAAGGATGATAAAGAAAATGTGGCCATCGGAATAACACCTGCTACATGGTGAGCACGCAATAAATGTCAGCTATTACGTCGCTACCGCTTCAGTCATGGAACTTGGAACCAGACCAGACTTCCCTGCTGCTTCAGCCCCAGGTGGCCCAAACGCCCGAGGCTGGCTCACTCGCTCTGGACTGTGCCCTCCTCTCCCAACTCCGAGTGCTGGGATGTTGATAGCTGGAAACTGACCACGGTGGGAGGATTCACATCACAGAAGTTAGCAAACACTCCATATCGGGGCTTTTTAATTTTTTCCCCAAAAAGATGGGGAAGCACACCACAGTCCAGACTACTACATTTTTATCCCTGGTACCATCAAGTTATAGGAAAATAGCAGCCCATGTTGGTAAATCAGACTAGCTGCTCTCTTGTCACTTAAAAAAAGATGTTTTATTTTGGTGTATGGCACCACTATGATCAGTATCCTCATTCCCAGTTTTCTTATGTCCTTGGCACGTCAGCCTGGCTGCCCCAAGAACTAAACTCAAGCCTAAACCAAGCCAAGGATTCTAATCACACACTTGGCCCCATCACTCTGCAAGTCCTGCTTCCCTGCATGTGGCTGCCTCAAACCTAAATGCTCACTCACCTCTGGGATTCTTTGGTCATAACCGCCAAAGAAAAAAGTTAACACATACACGAAAGGGAAAGAGACAAAATTACGACTGTAGCAGGGCCTTGCAAGTCTCAATGTTATAGAAACTGCTGATTCTTGGGATACGAGTCTCCAAAGCCTCTCACATCTTCCTCCGTCTTGTGAGCATAGGCATGCACTGCCAGGTTCCAGACTATCTTCTCAGGGACGTTTATATAGCGAACAGTCTTGGATGATAGCGTGTCTCTCTCTGGAGCAAGAGTCAGGTAGGCTTATGCCCATCGTAAAAGACAAGGGTTCCCTAAGCATGGGGTTCCTCTTGTGACACAGCCCACTGCACCTGCAGGTATCACTTGGCCCTCTTCCTGGGGCCCCGTAGGAATTGTGGCTCAGGGAACCAGTGCAAGTGCTGATAATCTGGCCACTACTATTGTTGTAATAAACTGTCCTTTGTCTCTGACCTATGAGTCTCGTAACTTCTGCCAGAATCCACAGAACCATGGCATGCTAACTTATTAGCCTGCAAGTAGGGCAAAATCTCAGACCATTCACAGGTTTGATACCCATGTGCTACTTTAAAAATCCAGAGCTCTAAAAGATGACAAAATCCAGGTAGCAAAAAGCACTGTTGGTGAATCACTCCACACACACAAAAGACCCAGTAAACATCATTAGGTGGGAGGGCACTTTAATAGTCTACAAATTGATGCAGTTTTATTGTTACAACACTTTGAATAATTTTATAGTAACAGTAAAATTTTGAATAATTTTATAGTAAAAGAAGATATACAGGGGAAAATGTCCCTGTACAGTTAAATTTTCATATACTATATGGAGATTTCCCACATCTGTCCAGTTTTGGCTCAGAACAAGAGATAGCTAATATATCTTCCTCATTTTTTTTCTGTTACTTTAAAAAGTTACTTCAAAGAGTAACTGGGAAATTGGAACTGATTCTTGACGCAAAGCAGAGCACAAAAAAATTCAGGTTTCCTGACTGACAGTTTTAACAAGTGCGTCAAGCAACAATGGTTTGTGGTCAAGTCTCGCACACGTTCTTTGCAAGGGTGCTAGCAGTTGTTACGGCCTCACTTTCACACGCGTGGGAATGGCACACAAAAACAGCCTTTAAGGACCGCAAAGGAGTGTGAATTCCGAATAATTCTCTCAAGTCCTAATGTCTCTGTTTTCATTTTGTAAGTGTGACTCAAGCCTACGGAAACAAGGCAAGGGCGTTGCTTGCAGGCGATCAGAACTCCAATTATTCCATCAGCCGCCCAGGACTCAACAGCAAGAGCTCAGAGGACTCAGCTGAAAAGGGCTATCACCAGAGCACTAATCCTGGAGAAATGGGCAGTCCCGTCCCACTGCATATGCAGGCAACGGCCCAGTTAGGACTAAAATGCCCTTCTGTGGCAGGAGATGAACAAATCACTCTACCAATGAAAGATGGGGGAATAACATGAGTGAGTGACAGGAAGAATCCTCACCTATAGCAGATTAACTAGGTTACTGGCTTTTCACAGACCACCCAGGCAGTTTTTGAATGTCCCAAGCTAGAGGGAAGGAAAAAAAAAATCACAAAACAGGAGATAGTGAACAACCTCCACCACCTAAATGAGGCAAGGGAGAAGGATGGAGGCTGGCTTTGGGGTCTGGAATCAGGCTATAATCCTCCTTGTTTTACCAAAAGTCCAAGAATTGTTCAGAAAACTTAAGAAGGGATATTTGCTCTAACTTTTAAAATAAACATATTCATCCTAGTCTACCAAGTCCTTGTGTTTTCCTTCTAGATGCCCATGAATACAACCCCATTATAGTTCTATTTGCCTAATAATTTACAGAACATTTAAAATACCAGGTAGGCCAACATCTCTACACGGCGTTTTTGGAAGGGCCTGAGGCGGAGAGAAACAAAACTGATTCGAGATTCCTACCTGGTGCCCTCTCCAGGGGACAGACAACCAGAGAAGTCTGCTGCTGGGATTTCTAGGATGTCTGAAAATCCCACTATTCCTTTTCAACAATATAAAATGCCATATTTGCAGACATATCTGAATCACCTCAATCAAGGCCGCTTTAAAAAATCTCATTTAAAAAAATTAATCACAGATTTTTAACTAATTACCCAAATTTGCAAACAAATCCCTGCTATTTCTGGCAGTGGTTCCAATGCAATGTTCTTCACTCTGCCTAACTTAAAAGTGGGGCGAAGGTGTCAGCAAGGCCAGCGTTCCTCGGTCGGCCGAGATAGGTGAAGACATGCTGGCTGGCAGTGTTTCCCCCACACCTTGCCAAAGCTGAGCTGGGTGACTAGCTGACGGGAGGAGAGGGGCCCAACCCCGGTCCAGTTCCCCAGCCCCAGCGTTCACGGGTTTTCAGGAGGTCAGCCTGTGAAAAGGAACCAATGAAGGCGCACGGCCCGGCTAAAGTGACATCTGGCCAAAGGATTCCAACAATGAGTTTCATAAAAATGGAAAAGACGTTCCATGGCGCCAAGTCTGTGCTTCTTACAGGCAATGACTACCAGATAAGTCAAAACATGGCTTAGAAGTAGAGCAGGGCCTAGAGAAAAGCCTGAGTTTACACATGCAAGGGGCTCCTCTCGCCACCCTCTGTGGCCGCCCGGTACCCAGCCTTTCACTCTGAGTGTAAGTTGAGGAAGCAGAGTGCACACAACGGCCGCATGCCCCCAGCGGTGAGACAGCCTCGCCCTCCCGTGATGAGGCCATGAGGCCCTCCCCACAGGCTGACAGGGCAAATGGCAGCCATCTTTCTTTTTGCAGCTTCCTCTAATTGAAATACCCAGGAGTGCTGACCTCCAGCCTCAGGGCAAATGTTGCCTCTTCAGTGCAGAGATGGTCTTGGAATCTTGCCAGTGTGTGGCCTCCCTTAGCCCTCCCTGGCCCCAAGGAGCCAGCATGCTGAAATGCATAAGGCAACCGTTAAGATCACACTGCCCAGACCAGCTGGAGTCTGGCCGGTGTGAAGCCAGCAATTTGTAACATACCAAAGAAGGGATCTGAGTCCAGTGTGATAGCTGAATTCCTCCTTAATCTGTGATTTGGTGAAGCTCTATCTGTGAGGTATTTTTTTTGTGTGTGGAAGACTGAAAGTGGAGGGAAACAACTAAAAAAACAAAACAAAAAAACAGACAAAAGCAGTGTACCTTATACTGGTTTCTTCAAATGTAATACCTGTGCCAAGAATCGGGCAAGAGAGAAACCTATGAAATGAATAAAATAACTTATCCCGAGGCACTCCCTCCCATCTTTGCTTAAAGAGCTCACACACACATAAACTCTCCTTGTTTATAAGGAGCTATCTCTTAGCATGTGAGCAGGACTTCTAAAAAGCCCATCGTTAAATAATCTAAAACTGGCACAAGAGATGTCTCCACATGGGTTCTCGAGACTTGCCTTGCGCAGCTCCAAAGTCACAGACTCTTGAGAGCTCCAGAAAAATACAGCGCAAATAGGTGGGCAAGAGAGTCCTGGTGCCTGCACCAGGGTCTTCTCCCAGGGCGTGCTTCACTCAAACAGGGCAAATCTCTGTCGGGGGCCCCAGCTGCCTTTAGGGGAGTGAGGATTTGCAGGGGCACACAGAATGCTGTCAGCATATAAGCAGGAAACCCTGCCTCACTTCTTTCAAATCCTGGCTCTGGCTTTCTAAGCAAATTCTTCTTAGGATACAAAAGCACATGTTAGAGCTTCCTTCTTGCCATAATGCAATTATGTCTGCAGCCATTCTACAGAAGAACTGAAGCTCTCTGGTGGCAAGAAGCCTTTAATCATGCCATGGTGTGTGTGTGTGGAGGAAGCGGGGATGTTTGGGTACAGGTATTTTCCTGAAGGAGGGGAAAGGGTTAAATGTATTGGCAGCTGAGCTGTCTCTCCAGGGGATATTGTGAAACAAGCTCAATGCAAACCTCTCCCTCTGAAGCATGAACGTTCCCAGAGGGGACAGGAGAGTTCCTTCAGTTGCACTGATGCGACCTCAAATCACGTGCCGGAGCTCACGTCACATGCCAGAGCATCTTCCTGAGTAACTAAAGCAGGTGTGGCAATGGAGAAAAGCACTTGGAAAATATACGTACCAGGCAGGTAGTGTCTACCTCCCTGGTTAATGGAAAGGCACTCCACACATATACCTGGGACCTCACCCACTTGCCCCTCCTCCTCCCCTACCCCAATCCCACCCAGGAGCCATGGGAAGTAATGGGTGCAGTCCTGGCTCCTCGTCCCCCTGCCGTGAGGTCTGCAGGTGGCTCCAGCTAGAAGTGGTGCTGGTGAAGGGCTGCAGATGAGGGGCCTTTCTCCAGTCTCTTGACATGGCAGGAGTGACAGAACAGGTGGTCCTCCAGGGGGTAGCAGCGGTGACCATCTTCATCATTGAGTTCCAGCCCACAGTCCTGGGGGGAGGCAGAAATGTCCAGTAGAAGCAAAACAGGTTGCAAGACTATCACGGAGGCCACCATCTTCACAATCAGCAGGGAGCGCTGTGTGTCCCCGTACAGGCAGGACATGCTGGTGCAGAAACACACAGCTCCTGCCTAGGCCTGTCCAACACGGGAGCCACTGACCACAGCGCGCTCACTGTGGCGCACTTAACTAAGATATGCAGTCAGTACAAATGCACACCAGACTTCCAAGACTTAGGACAAAAAGAGGATGTGAACATATCTCATGGGTAATTTTTGTTATTGATTACATGCTGAAATAACATTTTAGATATATTGGACTGAATAATTAATCCCACCTGTTTAACTGTTTTTAATGTGGCCACTAGAAAACTTAAAACGATACATAGAACTTGAATCTGTGGCTCTCATATTTCTACTGGACAGTGCTGGTCTGGAATCTGTGGAGAGAACTGTTCAGCAAGTATCTTCACCTTTTTCTCCTGGGGTGACCTGAGGCACCTGGGGTACCACTGGTAATGATTCCCACCTATTTCTTCAGCACTGGCAACAGGACCAATCTCTATGTCACCCACACTCCCTGTTCTCCCCACT